TTGTCTGGGGCAGCAAAATACGTTGTGATAGGATACACTCGCTGACCAAGCCTCAGTTCCCGCACCTTGTATAATGCGTCGGCAACATGTGACTTGGGTGTGCTTATGACTGCCAAGTTCTGCTGGGGCCGCAGGCGGAATATGATGTTCTGACGATCTTCGGTGCTCAAGCCTGCCGCGCTCCATAAAGCGTTGGCGAGTTCTGGGCGCGTCCAACTATCGAGGCAAAGTCCGCCGTGGGGCCGCAGAATTATCTTTTCATCGTGTAAAGGAAGCGGAGGCGGATTCTGATTCTGGCTCCGCTTGCGTGTGGTTTGCTGAGGGGCATAAGAAATGCCTGATGTATCTTCGGGGGGTTGCGCCTCGGCGTTCATATGGCGGGCGCGTCGCCTGTGTTGGACCGTCTTCCAACAACCCCCCACGTCGTTGTCCATGTTGTCGCAAAGAGTAGTGTCCTCCTCCATCATTTCTCCGGGTGGAGTGTCGACTTCAGGTTGTTGGGAGAAAAAATTGGAGGCAGCAGGATCAGTTGCCGGCCTCGCAGTATTCGCCTCGGGTGTCTGCGCTGCTGCCGAGGGACGCGCGTCGGCGTTCGCCGTCGACCACGGCGTTTCATGTTCGTTGGAAACTGTCGTGGAGGCAGTGAAATGCTCCATCGAAACAGAGCGGGTAATAGGCCGAATGCCCTTGGCGCTCAGGTTGAGAAAACGTACCTTGGACGAGCTGGTGGATGGGCGTTCCTGGCTCATGGTAGGAAAAACACGCCTGGACAGCTATGGCCCCAACCTTAGAAGGTGAAACTGCATCAACCGGACGGCCAGCTATTCTTCCAGACAGACCATCGAACTTGTTAGTGGATCGTTCGCCCTGACCTTTGCTGCCGTCTCCACAAAGTGACCATACCTTACTCGGGCCCGTCTCTCCGTGCAGCGACGAACGTCATTAGTCGTCCAGAGTACTGTACGTGTTTTCATAGACGGTCTTCGTCATCATATTGCCGTTGCAGTTTTCCGTGAGTGCACCCACAAACTCATTTTGGGGTGGGCTTTCCTGTCGTCTGCATGCGCTTCCATATCTTGTCGTCAGTGCCTCATTCACCTCAATCTCACTGACTTTTCTTTATCGAAAACGAAGGGCGCATTCGCCTCGTCCCCACCTCAGATGATGTTCTTTGGCCATAACGAGAAGTAATTAGTGTTAATTGCATCAGCATTGTGGATGGTGACGTGCTTCTACTACCTTATGGCCACACTGTACATCGGGGCATTCTGATAATTCCAGGATTTGTCCGTTTTTCTCAAGGCTCTGCTTTCATTACTGCGTTAAATCAGCCCCCCCCCCTACCCATTAGTGTTGCCCTGTGGATCAACAGTCACTCGCGATATTATCCCGCATCCTGTTGCAATTGTTGCCCTTCCGAGTCAAGAAGACCTACCAGAGCCAAGCTCGCCGCCGCTCAACTCTCCCACTCCTTTATCCGTTACGATACGCACTGATCTGACAGCAGCCCAGTGTCAAGGATTGCTCAATTTATTAAACTGACATCTCTCTTTTTTTTCGACGTTTATTTTGCTGTCCTTGGTATGACAACTTCCGCGACTCACTGAATTGAGACTGACTGCTCCCTAGTTATTCACCGGCGTCCATACCGCGTGTCTCTTGCAGAACGCAAAATAATCGAAAATATCTCACACATGGTGCAAAAGAAAGGCTGAACAGTACGTTTTTGTGTTGATTACCTGACAATGAACAAAATAACGCGCCAAGATATGTACCCTCTCCCACGACTCAACGACGCAATAGATTCGTTGCATGGCACGCAGTAATTTTTCAGCCTTGACCTGTGATCGGGCACCTGGCATACACCAGTGTCCGAACCTGAGAAAGAGAAGACCACTTTTTTTTACCCCAGATGGGCTGTATGAATATAACGTAATGCTTTTCGGACTTTGTAACGCACCCGCTACCTTCGAACAGATGACCGATAGCGTACTGCATCGTCTGAAGTAGAAAACATGCTTATGATACCTCGAGGATATCATAGTGTTTTCGTCTACCTTTTCGCAACATCTGCAACGTCTCGAAGAAGTCCTAGGTTACCCTGCAAAAGCTGGTTTACAGCTGATTACGAAAAAATGCACCATCACAAGCAAGACGATCAAGGTTCTATGGCACTTAGTCAGCAAAGACGGTATTCGACCGGATCCTGAAAAGCTTGCCGCCGTCCTCCCGTCTATTACGTCACAGAGACCTGCGCAGGTTTCTCGGCTTGGCGTCCTATTTTCGGCGCATCATACGTGACTTCGCCAAGCTTGCATCTCCACTTCATCAACTGCTGGCAAGTAACGCAGCATTCAGCTGGTCCAAAGACTGTGAAAATGTTTTCGTGGTGTTGAAGCACGCCCTGACATCGGACGCGGTACTCTGTCACTTTGATCTAGGTGCACCTATCATTCTGCACACTGAAGCAAGTGGTCATGGTCTCGGTGCGGTTCTGCTGCAGCGTGACAACACCGCTCGCGAACGTGTCATCGCTTACGTCAGTCGTGCTTTGACTGCTGCCGAGAAAAATTACACAATAACCAAACAAGGGTGCCTCGCTGTTGTGTGGGTGGTACAAAAATTTGCCCATACCTCCACGGCCGCCACTTCACAGTCGTCACCGACCACAACGCATTGTGCTGGCTTTCGTCGCTTAAGAACTTATCGGGTCGCCATAGTCGCTGGGTGCTTCGTTTACAGGAACATAATTTGGATGTCGTCTACATGTCTGGTAAAAAGAACCAAGATGCTGATGCTCTCTTTCGCTTCCCTCTACCCAACCGTGATAAACCACCGTCACCAATTTCCATCACGGTATTGCCCATCACGGGTCTCAGTTGGCTAAAATCCAGACACCGATCTACCCTTGTGTTGCATCGACGCGGTGAGCCTTACTGCCGCTCAATAATAGTATGCTTAGAAGGCACATCCGCTCTTCCGAACGCCTGACTTCGTCGACAACTTAAACAATTCAAACTTCACATTATTGTTTTACATCGCTATATTTACCACGTTTTGAAGAAAACAAATGGGGCAATGATAATCTGCAGCTGGGCATCTCGCCTATCACAAAACGTACGACAAAACACGCAGTCGGTTCACCTGGCCTGGCTTCTCATCCGCCATTGACAAATATGTTTCTTCGCGTGCCTTATGTCAACCGTGGATACGACACACTTTATACTGCTCCTTCTGGCTTTCTGCAACTTCTTTCTTGTCCCGCTTTGTCATTCGAAGTCGTCGGGATAGGCTCGTACGGCCCCCTTCCCGTGACCTCCAATGAAAATCGTTGGATTGTGACGGCTGTTGACCACCTCACTGGCTACATGGAAAAAGCCTCGCTGGACGCTGATATACAGCCACTGAAGTAGCCAATTTTTTTCTGCGTAACATATTTTTACGCCACGGAGCTCGACGTGATCTGCTCAGCGACCGCGGTGAGGTCTTTTTCCTAATGTTGCTGAGCTTCTACGCGCCGCCAACACCATCCACAAAGACAACTTCTTCTTACCATCCACAAACAAATGGCTTGACAAAACGCTTTCATTGTGCCCTCTCAGAAATGATTGCCATGTACGTCAACCCTTACCACACGAACTGGGGCGCTATTTCGCCATTTGTAAAGTTCGCCCACAATACGGCTACGAAACGCACCTCCGGCTTTTCTCCCTATTTTCTACTCCATGGCTGCTCTCTAAGTGTAACTCTGAACGTCTCCTTCTTTTCAGCTCCTGCTACTTCAGCAGGCCCTTTATCCGCACGATTTTTGTCTCGCCTCGAGCACTGTCTTAATCTCGCCCGAATGAACACCAGCATCCCTCAGGAAGCTCGCGAGTCTCACTACGACTTGTGGGGGGTTTCGAATTGGCGAGCGCCACGCCACGCTCTTCGAGTGAACGGACACAGCAGACGCGGTTGGAACAAACCAAACGACACACACTTTTATTTCACTGCTTTTAAAACGACGAGATCTTCAGCCGAATTATTACATCAATCGTGATCGACATGCTAGGTCATCCCTGCATGGTAGTTAACATATACTCCAAAACATGACAAACACAATAACACCCAAGGCGGCTTCGCCAACGCTTGACTTGCCACGAGAGCCCCCGACGAGCAGCCCGTGGAGCCACGCACCGGTGACCCACGCTAGAGACAACCGCTCGCGGCAACCGCCACGCGCAGAAAGAAAATCGCTCAACTTTCTTGCCTGCCACCAAGGCTTGCCTTCCACCAGGGTCACTGCCGACGCTACCACTGTAACAACCATGGTGATGATGATAGCAGTGGTCACCGCTCACGCGCACAATGCCACCTATGGCTCAATAGCCGTGACCTCCGAAATACGGCTTTAGGGTGAGACACAGTGCGCCACGCAGCGCAAATAGCTTTACAGAGGGTGACAGCACCCCCACAGACACAACTCAGAGTGCTGTCACCTCTTCTCCAGGAGACGAAGTTCGTCTCTGGACACCCGCGGGTGTGCCCGGCTTATGTGAAAAACTCCTCCGTCGTTTTATAGAACATTATATGGTCTCTGAACGAACATCCCCTGTTAATTACCACATCTCACCACTTAAGACATTCTCCTAGCACCGATGCCGTGGGACAGAAATTGTGCATGTTTCTCGACTGAAGCTGCATGCCCGAACGCAATTCTTAATATTGTCTGTCGCGCGGCCAGGAGGCCGCTTCCAGCAGTGACGGGGAATCAGTGTGAGCGCAAGTCTCTGACTCTTCTTTATTAATTGGACGTGTCATCATCATTTGTATAATTTTCTCATCTGTAGATACCACCATCAATGTGTGCCAGCTCGAGCTCGTCTCGAATAAAGCACTTCCTCATAATATCATTAATAGCTCTCATGAGGTAGTAGCTACAGCTGTTTAATTTCGTGTCAATGTTCGTCTTTATTAATCCTGGCACCATGTAAAAGTAATTTAAGGTGTTCGCTTACCGCTGGCAAGCTGGAACGATATTGCGTTTTGGTGCGGATGGTAGGGAGTTCTTGAAGTGACTAGCCGGGTAGCGTGCCGGCTTCTGCGTAGAAAAGGTGTTCATTGAATGGCCAGTGCAACGCCTAAAATGATTTATGTCATCAGACTCTGCCAATAAATACAGTTTGATGCTCATACTTACATTCCTCCCGGTGCTAGATAGGTCACTACGTAACTGAAAGCGTTGGCGTTATGCTGCAGAACTCCCAGCAGGGCAAAGCACACAGGTATTTCATGCAATAGCCTGCTCCTGAGTTTAACATGAAGTCTTTCGCCAACACCAGTTATCTGTGGAAAGAAAACGCAATGGTGTAGTGAAATCGTGGCAATGAGAAAAACTGTGACAACATAAAATTATCAAATTCAACAGGGAACTAACAGTTGTTTGATAACCTTTGAAAAAATTAGGAGCCGTTGGCGGCAAAAATGAGATCAAGCGAAGCTTCGCTTGTGAGCATCTGACCTGCTTTCTTTCTTTCTTTCTTTCTCTCTTTCTTTATTTATTTCTTTCTTTCTTTCTTTCTTTCTTTCTTTCTTTCTTTCTCTTTCGTTCTTCTTTTCTTTCTTTGGCTTCCTTTCCTTCTTTCTTTTTGTGTTTCTTTTTCTTCTTGTTTTCTTCTTTTCCTTCTTTCTTTCTTTTTCGATTTCCTTCTTTTCCTTCTTTTTTTCTTTCTGTTTTTAAATCGCACTTCGCAATCCTCCCTCTTGACTTTTTTTCTTTCTCCAAGCTGTGAATAGTGTGTTCTTATAAGTGCCTAGCAATGCCACGCTTCCGCCGCTGAAACCAATAACATCGGTCATAAGTTAAGTAATATCATGCAACTATGGACGACCACAAATGTGGCAGCGTGAATGAAGTGTCTTCAACAAAAGCTCGAACTTTCATTTAAGTAACGGGTGGTAATTTTGGTCGCATTGAAGCTGAGAAGCGGCCCCGCCACGGTGGTCTATAGGCTAAGATACTCGGCTGCTAACCCGCAGGTCGCGGGATCGAATCCCGGCAGCGGCGGCTGCATTTCCAATGGAGGCGGAAAGGTCCTAGGCCCGTGTGTTGAGATTGGGGCGCACGCTAAAGAACCCCAGGTGGTCAAAATTTGCGGAGCCCTCTACTACGGCGTCTGTCATATTCATATGGTGGTTTTGGGACGTTAAACCCCACACATCAATTAATCAAGCTGAGAAGCGCGTTTTTGAATACTTCAGCCACAGCATAACTCGGCAAGTACAAGCCTTATATACGAGGAATATTTAGGGAATGCACTGGGCGAGGTTGACGTACGGCAGGTATGAGAAGCAGCCAGAATCGGTGCTAAAGGTAGCCAAGCAGGTATATGCATGCTATGAATTACCAATTTCGGTATGTATCCCATTATCGAAACGGCCAGGAGTGCTAAAAGTCGTAGTTGGTTAGATAGATAGACAGATACGGTCAAAGCCACTGACGTTCGCTACGAAATGTTTCGCATTTGGAAGTTCAACGTCACGTGCGGCAACTTTATACATTTCATAATTATAGGATACAAGAGCTTCCATGAAGTTGTTACTACGGCTTTACTGACTTGGGCTCGATTCTTTCGTACAAAGTTTTCTATCAGTTACGAGAGCTCATGCAACCCCGGCGAGCGCCCGTATATTTACCGAACAAGCAGGATAAGCGTGGGAACCACATACATCTGTACTTAGTACCATGCGCCCATCTGCTTGACATGGTGTGGTGTTTTGAATACGTGGGAAAATGGCATCATGTAGGGTATTAAACACAGTCGATTGTGTTTTTATTGTACTCCTCTTCTATGCACATGTCTGGAGGATGTGCAATATCCGAAAAATGCACTAAAACTGTGTGTTATGTATTCTCTGCATTTGAATTTTTTAGCTCATCGTAGAGCTAGTACGAATTAGTTCATTCGCCGACAAAATCTTTCCTTCTCATACGATTGTTGCCGAGAGGACCGAATACATATGACAAACAGCTTTCATAATATTCACTCAATGAAAGAGAATGTGATAGCAAGCTTTGCAAAGAAAGAGCACTTGACATGCAGATTAAAAAGAAAACACCTAAGTGGTTGTTACGTGATAGTATTCTGGCTCATATGCCCAATAAATTGAAGCACTCTTGATTCATAACATACACTAACTAGCAATCAAAGTTTCGACTGTGATGTCGCTGATCTATGTGCTGCTGAACTCCCCAAAACTTGTATTATGTGACATAGACTAAGACAAGCGACCTTCTTAACTAATTTTCAGTCGCTCTCATTAACTAGTTTTCTATGGATTGAGCACTATGAGCCATTTTAGGAGGATCCTCCTATGACACCAAAATGCATACATACTTTAAATATTTGATGAAAAAGTTAGCAAGCTTAATTTTTATAGTGCGTCTAAACTGACTCAGCAGCATCTTTCATGCCGACCGATATGGTATCAAGATATTCCGACGTCGTCGAACAATTCAGAGACATTCTTATTTATTTTTTATCAAAAATAACTAAAAAGTGAATAAATGGTCCATTGAGAAGGCACTAAATGTTTACGGATGCTGATAGGCAGATAATAATACGGACATATATTACACAGAAGTAATGCGCTCGTGCAGTTGCTTTCACGCTGCATAGATTTTCTCTGAATGTAAAAAAAAAACGACTTAAGTGAGCCGCATGGATGGTGAGTAATGCATTGAATATATCATTTGTTGAATCACACTGTGTGCCCCCTCATCGTGTGCCTATTCGGAGGCCTGTGATGTATTCCTATAGAAAGCAATAAATAATCTGCCTTTTCAAATCTTTTTAGTTGTGTGTTTTATTTCCTCGAGATACATAGATTATAAAATAGACGTCAGATGCCAGAAGGCTTGTATTTGAAACGAAGAGTGAAGTAGGAGAGCAATAAAAAAAGATTTGTACAACATTAGCCGCTTATCCGCGTGCATCGCGGGCGAAGGTCCTAGGAACACGTTAGTATTGCGTCTGGAGATAAAGAATAAAGTGCTCATTTGACGTTCTGCGTTAGAAAATGGGTGAGTAGGTAGAGCGAGAGATATGAACACCATTTGTCAGTAATTTCAGGAAACGAAGGCTTTAGAGAACACAGAGGAATCGGTAGGTGGCAGCACCATGTCGTCTTAGTGAAGCTTAGGAAACACCAGCTTTTTCGTGCACGTTTTTTTTTGCCCCTTCCCTTTGAGATCGTGTATGAGTCTATCAATAGCTAGGGACTGACTGATTTTTGGCTGTGACTCGTTTAGCAGTTCATTCAAGAGTTTCTACTTACGTCCTACGCACATCTGCCCATCGATCGCCGAGCGAAGCTTGTTCCATTGCTGCTAGCTCACTTCTTGACAATGCACTTCAATATCATGATTCAACATCGCTACTTTCTTGCGCAGTCTCTATTTAGTCTGTGCACTTGCCATCTGGCGAATAGCAAGTTTTCCGCCTCTACCAGGTCCGCCAAGTGCGCATCTGCCCTGTTGACTTTTAGGTCCGTTTCGAGTATTTTAGTAACAGTCTTGACGTCTTTCTTTAGTTTCAGCAAGAGGTCTGCAAACGATCTGTGCTGTTTGAAGTCATCTGCCCAGCGTTTGTGGAAAGCACCCCTGTCTACTATGCTGAATGCCCCTAGAAAAGCGGCCTAAATTTCGATAGAAGTTCCCACAATAATGTTTTGCCTACCCAGATTTTCATGCTCGTTGTGCAAACGAACACCGCTAGCATTCTTAACGAATGTCAGATCAAACTTGGTGTCTCGCAACACTGAATTATCAATAGGCGTGGGAAACTGTGGGTCCGTGACTAGCTTTAAAGAGCAGTTTCTTACCGCTTGAACTAGATTCATATCTCGCAGAGAGTGACTTACACAACCTTATGCTTGATGCGGCACTTTGAAGTCTCCACAGCTGACACGAGTGAAGTGTCCTTTGCTTTTGCCGCAGCCTTGGCTATAATCGACCAGAACGCCTAGTGACAGTCTCTTGTAGAGCTGTAAATGTTGTGAATAAAAACACTGTTTTTGACGTCAGCTGCAGACATACTTCAGATCCTAGGAGCAAGGTACCTCTCCGTAGGCCCCTCAGAGAAGAAGGACAACCCAGATTACAGAGGCGAACCCACGGAGCAGCTCGACGCTCCGATCACCAAGGCGGAAGTCACAATGTTGCTACGGAATGAACGGGCGCTTGGAGCCCTGGCTGAATGGCATCTCCGAAAGACTCCTGCGCAAACTCAATGAAAAATGAATGGTGAAGCTTACGGAACAGATGAACCATACGTGAAAAACTGTCCGGCTCCGAGACTCTTGGAAGACGGCGTTGTAGTATTCATCCTGAAACCATGTAAAACGCTCACAGCTGAGAACCTCAGACCAATCTCGCTTACTTCCTGCGTGGGCAAGGTGGCTGAGCCCGTACTCTATGAAAGAGCAACAAGATACATCGAGGAACGTGAACTGTTCCCCTATAACATGTATAGGTTTCAGGCCCTCTTTATCAACGCAGGACATTATGCTGCTGATCAAATGGCAGGTCGTCGACATGAATACCAGGGATGTCATAGTTGTTTTGGCGTTAGATATCCCCAAAGCCTTGGACAAGATCACGCACATATTTATTGCCAAATTTGTCTTGGTCCTAATCATAAGAAAACGCATTCATGCGTATTTTATCTCTTTCCTTACGAGACCATATAGCCGCTATAAAATCGGCCAACTGAGATCCGAAGAATTTATTTGGGAGCTCCACAGGGCGCGCTTATCTCCCCCCTTATTTTTAATCCAGCGATGAAAGGTTTCTCGGAAAAGCTGGCAAGAGTCGAGGGCATAAACCAAGCGCTTTACTAGGACGATATCATCGTTTGGTGTGCATGCTAGGGGGTCCAACTGCGCCGAGGAGCATGCCCTTCAGGAAGCCCTGGATGCTACCGAAAAGTACCTGAAAAGAAAACGCGACTCTGTATGTCTTCTTCAAAGTTAGAACTGCTGCTTGATAGACGAAGTGCTACATGGGATTTCAGTGAAACGAGTAGGGAGATGCCCTGGCGAAAGAAGCACATCATTTCACTGTCTCTTTGTGTCGTGCCGTGGTCGCCTCAGACTTTTCGAGGCTCACATTGAAGAAGCTGTTGCTAGGCTGCCACTCTGACGATCGTGAAACCAGCATGAAACCATCAGCCCGGCTGTCCGACCGGGGTTTCACCAGGAGGAATAGGTCCCTTCTACTGCGTTTACGGATTGATTGCTCCTGCTGTATGCAGTTTCAGTGGACGTCATCCCAAGTGTTCTTGATAGAGGACCGGCATGGAGAGGAGCACGCGAGCGTCCTTCAGTGGTTTAGGGGCTCTTTCGGCCCGTATTCACAAACCAACCTGGACCTACCTCGAGTTTTCCTCATCGGTTTTAAGCCGTTATTGCGCTTGCTGAACAAAATAGGCTAGTATAAATGAACCAATCTCGTTCTCATATTCTAACCTGTTACCGTTTCTGTGCCCTTATAACGTACGTAGAGAGTACTGAAACTTCAGGAAAACATGACGAAAGGCCAAGGTTGGTTTGGGAATACGGGCCTTGATCTCACTTTCGTTTACCGCCTCCTTGCTATACGCGGGTATGATATAAATGGCTACATTGTGCGTAGTCTTGCCTGCGTTACGCCAAGCGACATGGGACGACGATATCATACGTCAGCCTGGGTCCTTAAATAGCTCCGCATGGGGCGCACTAACAATGCGCAGTAACGACAAAATGTAAATGAACGTGCTCATACCAACACAAAAATGCAAAAAAAAGGTAATGTAAGGATGGAAAAAGGATTGTGCAATCGAAAAAAAAAAACTAAAGCGGCACTGATTAAAAACAGCAACAACCAATAATGTAAGAATTGGGAATAAAATACGTCATTCATTGCACTTTGCGAATGTTTGCGGTACGCTTTCGACCCCGGCGTCTGTATATCAGTAGAAGAGCCTAGCAAGTGGGCTTGTTTATGCAGATCGCTATGTCTTTGGCACATATATATTAGCGACATTTCTTATAATTTCTATAGTGAATCAGTTGTGGGCGTATTTGGTGAATATATCTTTGTTTTACATATATTTACATAATGTTAGTGCTATCTCAGTAGCCTCACTTTGTTACGAGATATTGTTAAGAATACCGAAGGCAATGAAGTACGTTGGCCATATTATTGTGACAGTCTATTTTTGAGCGTTCATCTTGTCAAGCACTCCCTTCACGACTTCGAAATTCGCCTTTAGCTATACCAAATATGGAATAATAAACATATAATATTCAATGAATACAGGATTCGCGTTTCAATGCTACCAATGGGCAAACATTTGCGATAGCTTCGGGTCAATATAGATGGGTCTGAACTCCTTAACTGAAAAGAAAAATGTGAAACAGAGAAACTTGGTAACACTTACGTCGCTGGCACGTTGCCATGCAAAATTTTCCGGATTGTTTTCATATGGAATCTGAGCAGACACGCTAACACTCAAGACAATGAGGCGAATGCATGTGCTTAACTCGGCCATTTTTGTGTTCACTTAGCACCAGAAGTCATTAGTCAACCCTCTTTACAAGGAATGTGCTCGTCAATCTTTATTATAACTTGAGAGAAGCCACGTCACTAGGATGTGCGTGCATAAGGGTAGCTACGTTTTCAGCACTGTAAATAGCACTGCACTGTCGTTAGCTTAACGAACTATGCACATGCAAGCACTGCTTTGTGTCTTTTTTTTGAGTGCATGAAAGCATATCTTGTACAGACGCACCACCTCATCAATATAATGTCTCGCCAAGGAGGCTAATATTACCTCTTGAATGAACGAAATTCTCTACAGCACGTACGCTGCGCAGGCTACTAATTCAGCATGTCTGCTATTAATTGAAAAGGTGGCCGTATTTATTTTTATCAATGCCTAAATTATTACGCCGGAACAAATTCTATAGCGATAACTCAACAGCTGCGGCTACAACCCCAGAGAAAGACTTTGCGCATGCTTCTGACCTCGAAGCTCCACCAAAGTAAATTTTCTCCTCTTCCTCGACGCACTCGCATTGTCACAGCAACAGACATGCGCAGCGTAGGATTCTTAAAGACGATAGGCTTTCTTGGGAAACTTCAAGGCAAAAAGTTTGGTCTGCTTGTTTGTTTGTCCTTCCGTCATACGAATGAGGCAACCGGCTAAAGTTTAGGCATTTGCCGAAAGCCTAGTCATCTTGAACTGCTGACTGTGTTCATTTTTATAAAATATTCTTTATAAATAAGCAAACATTACGCATATCTAAGGCGCTACATCAATACTAATGTATTAGGGGGTGTATTATTTTACTAGAAAATACATAGATACGCAATTCTGAAGACCCTAACATTTCTTAGGCTTCACTGAAAATGTGACGCTAGGCAAAAAAGAAGGCCAGCAGAAGACTTTCGTCTTCTAATGACATTTGCTGCGAAGCACGCACAAAGGAGAGAGAGAGAAGTAGACTTAATTTCCGGTCGATTGCTGGGCTGGGCTCCCACCTGTAGGAGCTAACGAAGAGACCGTGTCTTCCGGCAGCTTCCTTGGCCTGCTGGATCACCTAAAGTCCAGGCCCAAACTGAGCAGCGCAGTCCGTCAAGGCACCCGAAGCTCTTCTTTGAAGGCCGTGACCCCAGAATTTTTTACTAAGGCTAGACATTCCCATTATATATAGTCTAGAGTGGCTCTGGACGCTGCAATTTTATTTTTATTTTTATGTCTAACGGGTGGTGCACACCGGTGACTAGCAGTGGTCGCGCGAGCATTTGCGACTAGTCGAGAACAGTCGCGAGTGGTTGCAAACGGTCGCAAAGCGACCGCTTTGGCTTGTCGCTTCTTGCTCGATTTTCAGTCGCGCGACTGCAGTCACAAAACTGCTGGAAGCAATCAGCGATGCCCGGAAGTGACACAAGCATTTATTCGAATGCAGACTTCTTTTTGTTGTTTAGTTTTTTCATTGCGTTGGCCTTCTGTCGCCAGATACAAACGAGTTCGTTCCTCTGGGACAGTGGCACAATTGCCACCACGGAGTACTTGGCTTGGAGATGGTAGCAGCATCGAGCAAAGTGTGGAACTTACGTGACGCATTCGCAACGAAGCTAAACACCGTCGAAATGACGGTGAAAATGAATTGTGCACTATCTTGCCCGTATTCAGAATTGTTTTTTGTCTTGAAGTTGACTTGCCACTGCCTTTAATGCAGCGCGTCTGGAGCGCATTTGTGTTTAACGCCTTGGCACCGACTAAAGACACCGCGTTCGAGACAGGTTTGTGCTGCATTGGAGGCTGTGAGAAGTCAAGTTTAATTCAAGGAGTGTTTCTGAATACGTAGCACTCTCGGAAATACTCCTCATCGTCTCAGCACCGCTCGGGAGGTAGGCGGCTTGCATGGACCAACTCTCGTGAGCGAAGGTGTGACCACACCCACTACTGGCTTTTAGGGGCGAAGGTCCTTATAGGGGCACCCGTTCGTCCCTTGTGGTCGTAGTAGTAGTCGTTGGGTGTAACCAGTCTTACATTTTGACCTCCAAGGTGGTGCCTGTGGGAGATTTCTTCTGTGTGTTGTTGAACAATAAAAATTTCGCAGCGTGCGCGTTAACTAAAACCCGAATTCTCCTGTCTCTCATTCCCCTTTAGTAGCCATCGTCATGTACATTGAACACTATCTGACGAGAAAGGGTTGCTGCGTTATACTCGCTGGGCATAACCTCCTTGATTTTAAAAAGGTTTAGCGAGCGTTGGGCCGCAGTGCCATGAATACAGTGAACTAGTATATACCATGAACTCAAGGTGGTTAAAGGTGGGAAAGAGACACGAAGCGCAAGCCGTAAAAAAGTGTGCGTGTGCCACCTCTCATTTAGTCCTTGGAATGTCCGCTGGATGGCGTTGCTTCTATATGAGGAATATATGGTGAAAAGATGCGAGATGTTGGTACTTGAAGTGTTGAATAGGTGGACGAACGGACACACAGACAGATGAATGGACGGACGCACGGATGGCTATACGGACGGATGGACGCATGGACGGACGCAGGAGTGGATGCATTGGGTGTTCATGTGCTTTCCGAATGATGACTTTTTGTTCTTAGGAACAAGTGAAGGAAACGGGCCAACTGAAATTGCACAAAACGATCCAGAACATGCACACAGATATATCTACAGTCGAAATTCATTTTCGTGACCTTACATCACACCATAAATAGTGCGGATGATTCATATAAATTCGTGGAAATAAAAAGCATGTGGTATATCGACAACTCATAAAAATCGTGGTAACACAAGCTGAAAGACAAAGATAGTCGGTTTTTTCAGTTAGCGTGACATTTGCTGCGCTTGCACACAATCAATAAAAATTTTACTAACGCTCTAGCCTCCGTAACGTCTGTAGCAAGCTGATTGCTTTGAGAAAGAATATGACAAGAGTGAATCGAACTATGATAGCGGAAAGTACTACATAGCACAGAAACAGTGTGCTGCTGTGCGTTCCTTTCTTGATTTGTTAATCCGCTGCCTTGATTGATCATTCACAACACCTTCTGTCTCGCTGGCGCAGCTGCGCTGACGAGACGTTTTCGAAAACTTACCTAAAAGCACACTCAGAATGAAAGTCACTTCATAGGAGCCATTTGTCGCTATTCTTTTTTTTCTAGTTGATTAAATTTGCGCGTATCTTGCGAACGACGTGTTGTTTTGTGTGTATGTGCGTAATTCATTACCTGAAACTTAACACCATGTTCTGCTTTCTTAAACTTGTTTTTTGTCCTTTTTCTGTCAACTAACCCTTTACTGACGAATATCTATAATTCGCGACACACCGAAAAGTTTCGAGCAAGCAAGCCGCCTTTAGTGCCGGCTGCCAAGTACTCACGGGGAATGCAACTTTCTGCATAAAAATATCTAGCGGTGCATCGGCTAAGGTATTTTATCTTAGAACCCACTGTTTTGTAAATGATGGCGGAGATCGCGAAGCACGTGCAACAGCTCTCACTTTTTTCTTGCTTGGGTGACGCAAGTTCTATCGTAAAAAAAAATTGTTCGATGCGTACGCATCTAAGTGCTGCCACACGACGTGTTACGTATACACAGTTCTGAAGCGAGCTTTTTTTTGCGAGGTACCCGCGTCCATGGCATATAGAAAATTCGAGGCTTAAGTAAAAATATGCATTGAATTTGCATTATAGATAATCAAACTGCGGAATCATTTAAAAGGTGATATTTGAAAAGAAAAACGTGAGAGCAATTTTTTTTCAGAAGTTATAGTTCAGGCAATTAAAACAGTTTATATTCGAGTAGATCAGCAGTATACTGTGATTCGTTAGTAGTGGAAGCGCTATACGATGGTCTATAGATGGCTCTCGGCCAGTTCTCTCACACAGAAATTATGCCAGCAGTGGAAGCAAGCACACTATGGTACCCTTATTGCGTGATACACCGCATGATATAAGTTATCTTGGGTTCTCAATAGAAGCAGCACTGGCTTGTAACAATGGCATTGTTACAAGCAATGCTGCTTGTGTACATGACCAGTTTGAGCTCTTGATTAGTAGTATTTAGCTCTGTTTGTTAGATAGTGAAGCTAGGTGTCATAGGTTGGTGTGCGCAATCAAATAAGACCTACCAATTTGAGCTCACAAGTTTGTGTCAAGTTCGTCGCATAAGTGTCCAAACGGGAATAAAGAAAAGTACGCCATCTTACTTAAAACTGTTTATTACATTGATTCTGCGTCCTTAGGAGCAGTGAGTAGAAAAAACGGCATCCATAAATAAGCAGCACTCTATTTGTTCACTGGAAGTTGGAGTAGGTGTCGAATGTGTCCAGAAAGCTGAGAGCCAGGTCATAGCAAAAGCTGTATTGTTCCTGCAAAACATAAGAAGAGTTGAAGCCTATTTACTCATCATGTCTTTAAGCAACTGTACAACATGACGAGGATCATTATACCACAGGAAACAATGCAGCATATCCCTAATGCCAGGCAAGCATAATTAAAGTTAAAATAGTTGGCATTAATGCCACACTGCAGTACCAAGTACGAACTACTGTATCATGCATGTGTTCACACGCTGCACATTGTAGCTACAAAATAACTTTAGCGCTGTAGCAACGAAGCACTCTGAGGGAGAATTAAGCTTGCAATTGCCAACAAACACGATTGCTAATAAACAAGCCCCGAGAAAAAAAGCAAGGTTTTCTTTGAGATATCTACTTGGTTAGTTTTTGAGGGTACGTCAGATAGGAGATATAAAAACAAACTTCCCAGCCGCTGTATGCCGTAATTGATTGATATGTGGGGTTTTAACGTCCCAAAACCACTATATGATTATGAGAGACGCCGTAGTGGAGGGCTCCGGAAATTTAGACCACCTGGGGTTCTTTAACGTGCACCCAAATCTGAGCACACGGGCCTACAACATTTCCGCCTCCATCGGAAATGCAGCCGCCGCAGCCGGGATTCGAACCCGCGCCCTGCGGGTCAGCAGCCGAGTACCTTAGCCACTAGACCACCGCGGCGGGGCGCTGTATGCCGTACCTCAGTGCGTCCGTGCTCTTTTCGAATTAGCAGCATATAGGTGAGTTACTTCTGACAAAATTGATTTTGTATTATAAATGCAAGTCCTAGGCGTATGGTGCCATGAATATAAAGACAGCTGCAACTTCCATGGCGATTTGTGCCTGTATCTTCCGCATGCGTGTCGTCTACGCATTTATGGCAGCGGAAAAAACAAAAACGCGCCTATAGTTTTTCGAAAACAATAAACTGAAACGCTGTTCGGCTCATGCAACATTTCTTTGTCTTTTTGCAAGCATAGAGACATACGAGTTTCATTTAAATATAGAAATGTTGTGCGTACACATTTTCACATGTGCGGCCAACATACATACGCGTAGTTTAATACCCCCACAATATAGTCTCGGAGCTGTAACCTTTTTCTAAATTTTTCGCAGTCACAAGCGTGTCAATAGTACGTCCTCAAGTAAAAAGGTCATTCATTTCGGTTTTGCAAGTGCTTACTTGCTGCGTTTATAAGCCTTCTTCAAAGGACACATTGTAAGAAAAAAAACAGGCATTTCACTTTTTTTTGAAAGCTCTGGCTTGCCCCTGTCTTAATACGTATGTTTTACGTCGGTGGCCTATTGCACGCATAGATGAATCCTTACGAAAAGCTCTCCAGAATGCCTGAGACCAATCCAGGTTATTTTAAGATCACCTGTTAGGCTTGAGCCCGAATACGCTAGAGACTCGTTCACACCCAAGTCTATGCAGTCAAAGCGGCAAGGCGGCAAAGCGGAAAGCTGGAAAAACATCCTTTCTAAGCGGCGAAAGCGGAACGGCAAACGACGCGGAAAGTGCGATCGCTCCCGGAGCAATTCCTGGCCGCCCACCAAAGCTCGCTGTTTTGCCACAGCTAATCAGTATGTGGCGGTGGTGCTCGTGTACGTTTGGGAGACGCATTGCCACGTGATCGTGACACGTGCACAAGCGCGCGAGATGCCCACCTCCTCTGCCGTGCGGTCAGCCAAAAGAGACGTGTGGACGCACTTACCACCCCGCCGCTTAGAAAAGCCCGCTTACCCGGCTTGCCGCACCGCATTCGGTGTGAACGAGCCTTAACAGCGCAGTTCATACTCGAACAAACACGGCCTTACCGAAGATCACTCGATCGACGGCTGGCATTCTGTTCGCCGCTGGCAGTACCAGTGTATACTGCTCGCGTTCCGTTTGCTGGCCACAAGTTCAGCCAAATATAGTTTAATCGTGGAAATATAGTGCGCTGCCTTCGCGAACGTCCCGACCACGTGGCAACATGGGTCATTTTAATGAGACAAAAATACTCTCTTTGGAAATCATTGATATCTTCAGAGGGTCATGAAACCACCAAGAGAGTTAACAGGCCTCCTCGAGGAGTCATTTACGTAATATGTCAGTGGTCTCCGAAAAGTGCCACGCATGCTTTTGTTTTTTCGTAGAGTGCACGTGATGTTTCCTTAGAGATCATTATGCCATCGCCAGATAGTAGTGGGATCGAAATGACTTTTAGCGTGCCTCTTACGTGGAAAGGTCAGAGTCGCCGAAACGAGCAACACTTTTCTTGTTATTGATTAACGAATGTCTGAAACTGTATTGAATCCTATTCCGTGAGAAGCGTGCGAACTCTAGCCTATTGGTACAAATTCACAGCGGAAAGTTGCGCGATGCAATGAGAGCGAGATAGACCAAACTGGACTGGCCCTGGCATGCTAAATACTGTGAAGAAGACTGTGAAGAAGATGCTCCTCTGGTGATAAGTGAAAGTTATGTTTGTGGTATAGTGCAGCGAGATAGAGTACCGGAACAATACTGCAAGTGGAATAGCACAAAGGCCGCCGTCTTATGTAGAATTACGTCGCGCTATGCACGATTTTTATTTTAAAAGCCTTCTCGTGTTTAGTTAAAAACAAAGGACATTAGCTACAACTAGCAAAGAGAAAACCGGGCGGGGCGATTGCCTGCAAATTATACAAGGCTAGATCCGCCGGCTCCCGACAACATCCTCAACCTCAACCTCAACCTCAAGATGCTCCTCCATCTAGTACCATAACAAACACTCGGCTCACTCGGCTAGTGCTTCTGATTGCTGCTGTCTTGGTGGACTGTACCTCACGCAGCGTCATAGCTGATAAGCGTATCGTCCTTCAACCGCCAAATAACCCCTTTTTATTTTTATTCATATACCGTAAAGCCAATTTGGGCATTACATAGAGGGGGGGGGGGGTAGTTACAATGCAGCAGGGTTATGCGCAAAACAGAAATATTTACACAGAACACGAAAAAAATAATAAAAAGATGATTGCGTGAACAAATTTCGCACCAAAGAAGACTTATTAATGCAATGTAGCACTCAGTATAGCATGAAACGAGGTGTGCGATAACTAATGTAATATTGGCACTATACTAAATGAAGGAAAGCCACAAAATGTTACGGTTCTACATTCCACATCTCCATTAATCTGCTAACAAATCTGTCGTGATCACGCAGAGTTACAGCATCACTTGGTAGTTTATTACAATGATAGACCGCAAGAAACAATGGTGAGTCACGAAGGAAGTTAGTACGGGCAAACATGGGTTGTATTTTGTAAGCATGATCCAAAGAGAAAAATGCGATGAGCTGGTTTAATCTGCGAATGTAAGAAAGACGACTCACTGAAATAAAGCTTGTGGAAATTAGATAAGTGCGATAAGCCTACGTATTTCTAGAGTACGTAATTTCAACGACGTTTTAATAGCCGAGAGTATTTTCCTGTGATAAAGCGGGCTGCTTTGTTTTGAATGGCCTCAAGTTTATGAATAAGGTATTGCTGCTTAAGATTCCAAATAAGGGCGGCGTATTCCATTTTCGAGCGAACTAAGGTTGTGTATGCGAGAAGTTTGGTGGATCAGTTAGCAGAGTGGAAATTTCGTTTAAGAAATCCTAGAGCTCTTAAAGCTTAACTGGCTATTGCCTCAACATGAGCATTTCATGAGAGGTTGTGTGCAAGATGAACTCTCAAGTATTTTATTGTGGTCACATTTTCCACTAGCCTATTGCTTATCATATAAGAATGCAGCTCAGGTTTCGTAGTTCTTGTTTATTGAATATACTTTGTTTTTGAAACATTAATTTCCATTTGTCATTGGCAGCACCATCGGGTGATTTGGTTAATGTCAGACTACAGCGCACTCGTATCGATATGACTAGTAATTTGTCTGTAAGTTACACAATCTCCTGCAAGAAGTCTGATTGGGGATGACAATTGGTTACTTATATCATTAACGTAAATTAGGAATAGGATTGGCCCTAGCACGGTACCTTGCGGAACACCTGATTTTACCTTTACTAATGGAGATAACGTATTATTAACAAAAACAGACTGATAGCGATCGGACAGAAAATTAGCAACCCATTTACTGATATTAGGGTAGATCGTGACGGCGCTCAGTTTCATATTATGGCGGTTATGAGGGACTTTGTCGAAGGCTTTAGGGAAATCTATAAAGTGAGCATCAACGTCTGTTTTATTATGTATCGCTTTGTGAATATCGGTTATTAGTTGAAATAGTTGAGTTTCGCATGAAAGACCACTCTGGAAACCATGCTGACTTGGTAAGAAGAACTTGTTCGTGGTTAGATATGTCATAACTGCGGATGATATAATGTGCTCTAAATGTTTACGTGGTATGCTCGTTAGTGAAAATGGTCTATAGTTACTGAGCAAAGAGGGGTCACCTGACTTACAGATAGGAGTGATGTGGGCAATTTTCCAGGCGTCTGGTACGCTACCACTATCAATAGATGGCTGAAAAAAGAAGCTAGAATGTGAGAAATAACAGGCATTGTTATTTTTAGCATTTTGGTACAGATGCCGTCCGGGCCGGAAGCTTCCGGCCTTTAAGGAAGCTTCCGCACGCGTCAGTTGAAAGGTGGTTTATTCGGTACCCATTACACTTCTTTCGCTGTGCAGGAGAGTTAACGACCTAAATACAGCAAGCCAAGGTACAACAAATAACACGTCGCTTCTTTTTTTTCGTGCAAGGCTGGTGTCATCTACGAGGTTCGCACAATCTGTGGCAGTTTCTACATTAGGCAGGCCAACCACCGTGTGAACGATTACTTGCGTGAACGTTCTAGCAACATTAAAACTAAAATGGGAAACAACATCGCAATACATCGTCCTGAATGTCGTTGCACCTTAAATTGCCACCAGGTGAGCGTGGTGCACCGTCAATGAGATAACTGCTCCCGCGAAACATGCGATGCCTTTGCCATTCATGTAGCAGGTCATTATTTCATGTATCAACTCCCCATTTATTACAATACCAGGCAAAGCAGTCGTCTCCGCAGTTGAGTGCTGCAACATTATCAAGGCATGCACAATTGTTTTTGAAAAATCTGCCTCTCCTTCCTTGCTTTATTTTTTCCAGAATGTGTATATATATGTACAGCAAAAATAGACGCTGTAGGTCGTAGACAGCGCTAGTCCTGTTTGGTCTCTTTTGCCCTTGTTGTATCACACTGTTTTGAAATATCACTTATTTCCTTGCTGCAAGAATAACAACGCGTCATTGAGTTCACCATTGTGATTTAAGGCACTGCTCAGTTCATTCGCTTTCCTTACCGAGTCAACGATGAATTCAGGACGGCTACAGCGCACGTTGCGCACGGATCGGAACACGTCGAGCTCTTGTTCGAGCTTCAGCTGGTCGCATATCGCTGCACACACGCAGTACAGACCACTTTCCTGGCAGCCATCCCTGAAAGCAACAGCATCATTAGTGCAATATTTTCAAAGCTGAAAATTTTTGCGTGTACGGAAGGAATAAAGGTAAGAACATGAAGAAAAGGAAAGGCACCAGGCTGGAAGGACTGGTTAAATACCCTTCACAAAAGAAAGCCGTCGGGGAATGCGGAAAATGCACTAAGAGAGAGAGCGGAGGGAGCACGCACACACGAAGTCACACTTCACCACCATCTTATTATTATAACTTAAGTCTCTAATCGCTGGTGCAAGCCTGTTGCTTTCAAGAAGTTGAGCACTGCCTTCGTCCTTTTTCCACCTCGATGACTTCTCAGATTCATATTCGAACATGAATTGTGTCATCGTCGGGCCACTCCGCGGTGGTCTAGTGGCTAAGGTACTCGGCTGCTGACCCACAGGTCGCGGGTTCGATTCCCGGCTGCGGCGGCTGCATTTGCGATGGAGGCGGAAATGTTGTAGGCCCGTGTACTCAGATTTGGGTGCACGTTAAAGAACCCCAGGTGGTCAAAATTTCCGGAGCCCTCCACTACGGCGTCTCTCATAATCAAATGGTGGTTTTGGGACGTTAAACCTCACAAATCAATCAATCAATCGTCGGTTTCTGATCTATGCGAGTTGGAGCAGCTGCGAGAGAAGTTCTCTACGCATTCTAGTGAGGATAATCGCCGAAGAGGTGCTGTGATGTGGGACAATCAGCAACTTACGCTTAAACGTTTTTTGTCCTTCGTTAAGTACACTGAATTCTTGAACATTAGTAATGGTTACTTGAACGCCAGCTTCTGCTATACGGCATATTGCAATTTACATTTTTGGCTACTTGCAGCAACCGTTTACTGCTCTGTGCCATTGAAAGTTGCACTTTGGTTTTCGATTGCTGCGATATACATAGGTGGCATTGAACACCCCACGAACATTTTAAATGACATCATGGCAACAGATTTTGAATGAAAAATTTCAAACTGGATCAGACTTGTTTTCACAAGTAAGCACTGAAATACTTTGTTACCTTGTTACCTGCACTGGTAGGTGACCTTTTGGCATCTTTTATTATGTCCCAAAATCTGTACAATCAGTCATAAGACGGCCTCTGGGCTCATTTCAATATCGTTTCTACTAGTAACATCGCAATAGGTATTAGCTGGGACTTGCGGTCCGCTGTATACTGCCACCCCCCGTAAACAAGTGCCGAGGGTTTCATTACTTCCAGGTATCTTATAGCCTGCAATTTGAATTGTGCATATTTGGCGCTTGCTCACTGAGAATCCCATTAGGAAAAAAAGACTCTATTTTTTCATGGAGCAAGACATGTAGTCTTGCTCCATGAAATCATTGTACTGGAAGAAAAAGCTCAGTTGGCCACTGAATTATTGATTGGGTAAGAAACAATGCATGGTATACATGTATCAATGCAACAGTCGCACTCGTTCACGCCTATTTTTTTTTGGAGCTCTCTTTACTAGAAGTAGCACCTTATAAAGGACGGGGCAGTGACATGACACGCAACTGGAACAGAGACATTGACCTTCTGTTTGAGTTGACAACATCTTGTATTGCGTGCCGAAACCACGATATAATTTTCAAGTACATCTTTGTCGAGTATTCTGAGAATTTCGATTATCAGGTATTTCTTAGCGGGCAGGTCATCGCATGGTACGCGGGCCTCTATCAGTTTTGCCTGCATCGAAATTCGACAGCCGTGATCGGGATTGAAACCACGACGTTCCGTTCAGCAGCTGAGCACTTTGACCACTGGAACAACAAGAGGGCCCCGCTTGATTGGGTTATTTTCAGTAATACCTTGCTTTAAAATTTAAGCTTGCCTTGGTTTCTCGGAAGTATTGTATTCTATGTACGTCACATGGTATAGTCTTTATTATTAGCTAGGTAGCTAGTTAGTAGCTAGTAAAACTATTGATAATAGTAAAAGCTGGTAATAACTAATTAGCTTTCAGTACTTCCACTCATTTTTCTTCGCACTCACAGACATTGCACCACGACTGCTCTTCCTTCGGCTTGCATCTGCCACCGGTCGACGTGTTGCAGTATCTCTAGTACCAGGTCGCAGGAACTTGGCACAGTGCTTGCCCTGTTCCAGGACTGTGAGTGGAACTGCTTCAGTATACGGGCTGGTCGCTGCAAAATGAAACATATCAAATGGACAAATCAAGGAGGCGCTAGGTTCAATCAATTTAGTATTCGCCGTGGCGGTGACTGGAATTGTAATATACTGGGGACAGTTGGCAAATTTGAGGACACTTGAGCTTCGCCTTGAACAGTAGATCGTGACTCGCGTAATCGGACCTTATGCGCATCGGCTTTTGAATCGCTAGCCTACATCGGTTGTCGGCGCTGCATGCGTCAACCATGCTGCAAAGAAACGAACGACTGCGCACACAACATTGGTACATTTCAAAGTGTTATTCAATGGCCTATAACCAACACACCTGATAAGTGCCCACTACGCTATAATTATTTCTCTTGCGAATCAGGAAGGGGTCCGCTACCTGTTCGTCGGGCAACATGCAAATCTACGTAGCTGTTGACTTTGTTGATGGTTCTGCTGGTGATAATTGTTAAATACGTCGGAGCGCTTTGCAATGGCTTGGCCTATAAAATGCCTACTTCTTGTTCAATTATTTTTTGACGCCTGGCTTGTGTCTCCGCTTCTGCCGCGCATTACTACATGCATTAAAACCACTACTTCCAGTACATGGCAGCCCCACCGTGGTGGTCTGTGGCTAAGGCACTCAGCTGCTGACCCGTAGGTCGCGGGATCGAATCCAGGCTGTGGCGGCTGCATTTTTGATGGAGATGAAAACGCTGCAGGACCGTGTGCTCCGATTTGGGTGCACGTTAAAAATCCCCAGGTGGTCGAAATTTCAAGAGCCCTCCACTACGGCGTCTCTCATAATGGAATGGTGGTTTTCGGACGTTTAATGCCACATATTAATCCAGTACATGGCAATGCCATGGCGTATTTTCCAAAGGAGTTTCAACAAATATTGTGTCTATCTGATAGAACACCTGATTGCCACACCGACGAGCTGTTTCCAATCCTTACGTGAACCGGGAAAGTAATATATATATATATATATATATATATATATATATATAATATTTTTCGTGATATTTCGGTCACGGACAAAATCACGACTTTTATCTCCCAACCAGTGACGCCAACACCAGAATATATGCCTAATGAGCTCTTTAACGCTGTAGGTCTAGAACGTCAACCGAAAATGCTTGGGCACCGTGTTGAAACTTACTCGAGTTTTGCAGCTTTGCACCTTTCTCGCAATACCCTCTGTGACGAAGCTGTTTATAGAAATTCAAGTAAGAATGATGACTCCTTATTTCTACATATTCAGAAAATGAAAACGCAAGGTCTCATGGGCATGCTTTTAGAAGGATTCTTTTTGATGTCTTCTTGACAGAGGCACCTGTTTGATCACAGCAGCTAGTGCTCGCAAACAACCGTTGTTCAGTGCTTCACACATCGCTTCTTGAAGCAATAAGAAGGAGGTTCTGCAGACTGTAAACGATCGCAATTGCGTAAAATTAATTTTTATTGTTACGCGCGTTGTCAGACTATAGAGGCCTCAGTGTATTTAACCCCGACTAGCCTGTCTAAAAAACTTCCTGTCTTTTTTTTTTCAACCTATACGCACTATGCTGACTTTCGGTTGAGTATCAGTGTGGTTACCAGTTTGATCCCCGTAAATAATGACACCAGATCGTTAATATTCTTGGTTCCAAGTCATCGACTGTAAACTGGAGAGAAAATAAGTCATCATACGTATGAGCATTCGGCAAGCTTGGTGAATACACCATGTTACAATCAGGTTTTCGTGCCATATACCTGTATTGAAATATTTGTGTTTGTATTCTTTGTTTTTGTAGATGACGAGCCTTTTCTACCGAATACTTTTGAATGGATCTCTACTAGCCTACTGCATATTGTAAACAGTTTATGTCAATAAAATTCAATTTAATTCAATATCTCGCGCTTCATTATGAGTCGTAGTCTTGGCAAATGCTTCGAAACCAAAGAATAATAGGCGATGAGTATCGGTAAAATATTTGAATTTCAACATACCGACCCGTAGACGACCTTAAATGTTCGCACCAAGAGGCCTCGAAAGTCTTGACTGTCGGTCTGCTCCACCACAGCCTTTCCGTATTTGACTGTGGTCTTCAGGCTCGGCCAGAATTGTGGTGTAGTCTATTAGAGAGTGAGGAAATTATAATGCTACTACTATTTCATTTGAAAAACAAGAAAATGCAGGCTACATTGGAGCCAGTTATCCGAACATCATTGTAATGTGATTGAAAATCCCACAATAAACAGAAATCAAGAACCAGTAAACAAATATGAAAAGCAAAAGATGGGTTAATGAGATGCATTATGCAGAAGCATGATCTGAGGCTCATAAAAAACAATTCTAACAGCAAGCACGAAAACGAGTGCAAATACAGGGAGGAATGTTAACCAGTTTGGCATAACTGGTATGCTACCTTGCACAGGGGAATAGAAGATTGAAAGAAGAGTGAAGAAACACCGACAATAATGTGGGAGAACACACGCACATACAACGCCACAGCGCAGAGCGGCTGTCTCAGCCGATTACGGCATCACAGTCTACAGTCGCTCGTGCAAGTCTGTTGTTGAGAATTTTAGCAATGCCTAGTTTGCTTGACTTCTCGCTGAATTTTCAGGATGACATTGGAGAATAGTTGTTAGTATCATCAATCTGCTGTCGATACGAGTGAAAGCGAATGAGAGGGATTGTGTCTGAACAGCGCAGCGAACACAGTCATGAATGACGTGCTGCAATGTCGCCTCGGTACCACAGGCGTGGCAAAGACCGTTGTCGGTCATCCCATAGACACAGGGTGGTCTCGCAGAATACTGTCGGTCCGCTTTGTGCAGATGTATTTAATGCTCTCCCGTTTAACATGGCTATACCATATGCCCATGAACAACACATGACCAGAAAAAGCAGTATCTTCAATTAAAAACAGTTCACTAAACTTATATCCACACACAAAAGAATAAAATCTCCACCGTGTCCTTTTGTTCTTCCTCTCTCTAACCAGTTGCGCTATCAAATATTATACGATGGACATCCACTGACATACTCCACCTGCGAGTTTGCTTCAGCTTACGCGGTCTCTGGGAATTACTTCATACAATATACATAGCGTATACTCAGGGACATGGAAGTTATAATTTGTTCAAATATTTAGAATTTGCTCATGACCTAAAGGCTGAGCAAAAAAATAAAGCTGTGCTCTTGCATATATTCCATTGCTTTTTGTAAATGATAAGGTTCATTGTTGAAAAACAGTGAAAACTGTTTTCGTAATACCACTTTTCTACCATTTGGCTACAAATTTGGTGATTAAGAGATAGTGACTTGGCTACATTAGCTTCTCTGACCTTGATGTCTGGCTCTTTTTGACTCTATAGAACAGCAACCCTGACACATACATACATGCATCACATACATACATACAACACATACATACATACATACATACATACATACATACATACATACATACATACATACATACATACATACATACATACATACATACATACATACATACATACCTACAAACATACATACTCGCAAATTTTGAAAAGCTATGGAGAGCTTCAAAGGCCACCTTTTCATTCGCCCAGATGTGAACCATCTTGAACATCCACAACTGTCCTAGCCCACATGGTTATCATTCATAGCATTTTTTAAAGATTACCAGCCTACAACCATTTCAAGAGCGATGTGCAACCGTTTTATCAATACAGTCGACTAAGAAGAAACAAAACGTTGCTTTTGCCTGTGACTCATTTTATTTTAAAGAATAGGGGACCAAGTCACTTTATCTTCCTTATGTTTTGTCATGCATAAGTTATATCACAGAACCTGCAAAGGGGTGTGGACGAGATTACCAATGTACATTCGGGCTTATGACGGATGCAAAAAGGTCACTCCCATTACCTCATCTTGGAGAGGACCGAGCGTGACGAGTGTGACAGACCCACTGGTGGCGAACATTTCCCAGAAGTCGTCGATCGTTTCTGGTAGAGGCAGTTGTGTCACGAGGTACGCTTTTCGTCTCTTGAAACCCTGCACGAAAATGGCACGTAGATCAATCACTCACCGTATCAATGCGACGCCAGCCTTTGCTGCAGACAATAGGTGATAAACATTGTTACGCCAACACAGCCATAGCAGTGGGCTTGGTACTGCATACTTGCAAGAGGGCGCAAGTTTCATTGTATAGTGCCTCCCACCTTCCACTTATTGGAAAAGTCCAGACGCAAAATCGGTCACGTATCTGCGTGCCAGGCTACAAATACCGTTGAAAGACAACAGTCTTCTGTAAGCACCTGCTGCGTCAGTTAACGACGTCATCTGACAGTGTATAGTGTCGGGGAACGTGAGTTTGTACAAACACCAGGGCCGCTGGTAAGTTGCAGAACTACGTCGTCGGCAGAGCGCTTTTTCGGGCATAGCGTCGTATTTTGAGCGAAGCGTTAAAAACACCCGTCATTTCACGGATATCGTCACATTTTAAGCGCAGCGTAAGAAACGCTGAAGTCTTTAGAGTTACGTATCTATGTGTTTTCCAGTAAATGAATACACCACCTAATACTGGTGAATAGATTTTGCGCAGCCGATATTAGTAATATTTTCTTTTTGATCCACAATGTTCACAAGTATGAACGTAGCCACCAGAACAAGATGGATGAGCGTCCCAGAAAAGTTAAACTATCTGCTAATACCAACCTGTTCTGTATACCAATCTGATCCAGCCTGTTGGATCATCACAACAACTTTTCAAAGCGGCCTGCCTTTGGTCATTAGCTTTCCGAGATTAAAGGCGGTAAGCAGCGAGTGCATGGAAAATTGCACTATCTCCCACTAAAAGCAACCATCAGTAGCATGCGAAACGGCGCATGGGTTGACTTAATGTTCCGCTCATCACGGACCTCTTCCCCGATGATAACGCATATTTGCAAATGGAGCACGCCATGAATTCACTGTAGTTTCTGTTGCTGTTACTAGTCCCAAACTCTTGTTGCAACACGCCACGCAGGTTCGAAACGCCACACGGGAGAACGTGCGTTCATTGAGAGCCTGAAATATTTCGTTCCCCAATGCCATCACGTGATTGTTGTGAGAGTGTGAGGGGGGAGGGAGGTTGCAGCCTATTACACAGTCACATGGGCCAGAACGCGCTAGTGCGTGAGCGCGTTCTGGCAGTGCTGGGACTGCATGCTGCGCATGCTCTGTAAAGGTGGTCACGCCGCACACAACCAGATTGAACTCCACCACAAGCTGTTTCACATCTAATAAAATAAAACGGGGTCAACGCAGTCGTTGCCCTCGAAAAGCTGCATGGCCATAACCCTGCACACTGAAGATTGATTGGAGAATTCCGACAACTCTAGGGTACGAGACACACTTGGCGCACCCTTTGATGCTTAGGTTTTGATAAGTAGGCTATACACTAGTTAGCCACAACATAAAGTTTACATTGAAACAGAGTCGTAGGTATCAATATGAAACAGCCACAAAAAAGTACATTTTGACAGGTGCTTTGCAAACAAGCCTTTTTTACATTTTATCAGGTAGTGGGAATTGTGTAGATCAGCACTGCAATTTGTGTGCCTTCTCAAAGTCAGTTTTCTTATTTGAAAAAAAAAAGTGGGAGCAATTAGAAGTCAAACACTGAGCTGGAATGGAGTACGCCTGTTTCTAAAATATTTGCAGCCTGGCCAGGCGAAAAACCTCCATCGCTTACACAGGCATTTAATATGAGAAATAAATAAAGCTATATTTTGAATTCAGTGAGCAGAAATATATTCTCAGCAGGAACGGTTACATAACAAGTGATGACGAAATGTTCTGTGCATGCTTAAATATGCACACCCTAGAACAACTCATAGAGAGTTGCGCTTTAGGAATTCCTTGCCTTCACGTTTGTTATTGTAATAAAGCTCATAAAAGATTCTGCAGCGGTGATGGAATAAATCAGCAATTAGGGAAGATTAGGTCAGCCTGGGCCATCTATTGTCTACCGCAGTGAAAAGAGCGGTTACGGCTCACGGCTGCCAACCCAAAGGGTGCGGGTTTGGTCGCGACTATGGTGGTCACATTTCACGGTGGTCACATTAAGGTATGTGGCGGTCACATTAAGGATGTGACCACGGTGGTCACATTAAGGTAACATAAAAGACGTCCATGTTCTGTACGATTTCACTGCACGTTAAAGGACACCAGATGGTCAAAAGTTCCGGAGCTCTTCATTACGGCGCCACTCATAAGGGTATCGTAGTTTTGGGACGTAATAGCCTGGATATTATAACCAAGCCTTTTCACCTGGCCTGTCCGGCACTCATATACAACGTTTTTATGGAAATTAGGAGTCGGCTTGGAAAGACCACTAAATGTATGCATTCCGGAAAGTTAGGACGCATTGCGCATAAATAGGGGGGTGAGAGTGATGGATGGGAAATATGGCTTTCGCAAAAAGCGTGAATTAGCTAAGTCAACATTGACAGTACAGGGCTTTTTTAGGGTGGATACTAATTACAGTGTCAGCGCAGAAGTGGGAGTACGGCTTCATAACACAGAAATAGTGGAATGCCATGGTTTATATATATATATATATATATATATATATATATATATATATATATATGGTTTTTGTTCACTTACATCCACATAGATGGCGTTGATGTAGTCTGTCTTGGATCCATCAGCTGTGACGCTTAAGAAGGGCCTCCTGCTGTCACCTATGAATAGATAAGGCACAGCAGGCGTCAGCGACACATCACATTTGAATAAACACGTAAAAAGTTCTACCTAGACTTACATGCGAGAATCTTAGGCGATCGATTCTTGGCCGCATTTCTTGTGTCCCGTGCAGTGTTGTATTCTTCCGGGTCAGGAAGTGGGCATATTCGGGCTAGTTCCTGAAGAAGAGACAGCAAGAGACAGTTATATTTATATAAAACACCTTAAAGGCCCGCATCATATCGCGTAGAGGAGGTGTCAGTTTACCTACGGATAATCAAAGAACAAGAACAACAAATTCAAACACTGTACTTGGTGCGCGAAATCAAAATTCTTAGTCTGCAACATGGTGCATAACTAGTATTACATGAATAATACGTAAATACATACTGCTTGATGAATATTTACGCTGTGTGCATTAAGTGATGACCAAACTAAAGTGTGCAACCAGCAGGTGAATAAATTCATCATGATTCTAAACGCGTCTGATAAAATCTGGCAGGCGATTCCACAACCAAATGGCGCGTAAAATCCGGATCAATTGAAGGTTAAAATTTCACTCACAATAGTGTAAAGTTCAAACAATTATTGAATATTTTGGAAGTGCACCATGAGACATGAAGGTGCGTTATGAATTTACTGTGGAATTTGAAAGGAGTACGTCCATTACCTCGTGCTATAAATAACTGAACTGCATTTTGATCGTGGATATTTCAGTACACGTTAATAAGCGCTGCCTAACTCCGAAGCTTCAAGCCACACGTTAGTTCAGTTGCGCTGTTTTTCGTGAAAGATTTGCTGAAACTATCGATGAGACCCGGTTCCCAGCTCACAGCATGTATGTGCCCCAGATGTTGGGCAAGCGTCACAGCTCCCATGTGGTGTGGTAAAAAAAAATTCAGAAGCATTCTTAAACGAAAGTGCGCCCACCACAAAGACAGCGTGAATGTGCTGTACAAATTGGGCAACTGTAACTACTCAAATACGGTATTGAAAACAGTTAGGATTGCGTGGCCGAGACGAAGAGAAGAACGAGGAAGAGCAGCTGGCACGTTAGGTTGTTCTTGGATCTACGCCGCAATATATGGCAGCGTCGAGATGCTCTGCTCTTCATCTCTAGGCGTATTTGTCCGTTTAACGTGGTTTTCTACGAAAGAAGTCTTCGGATTTTACATACGATTTGGTTGAAATGAAGGTGCCTGGACGTCCCACTTAGCATGCGTCAAGCACGTGCTCACTGTAGTCAAGAGGAGGGCGAGTAAGCGTCAAATACACGTGGACAGAGTCGGGGAGAGTGAAAGCATGCACCTAGACTGTGTTTATAACATATCGAGAGGGAATGAATGTGCACAATAAAATACACGCGCCCTAATGTTGTTGAATATGGTGCAAGAAAAGAAACAGAAAAAGAAACGTAGGAGGGAGTACACCTAGCGTCCACATGCGTACCTACTCAGACGCCGATCACCCCTCGATATCACACGCAGGGCTAACTTCACGGCATGCTCTTATTTTCATCTTAAAACTGCGCTGTGAGCTCGGGGCAGTGTTTGTTGTGCGGCATTCGGACCCGTACTGCACATGTTGGTGGTGGTGGTGGTAGTGGTTAGAATATGAGAAAAGGCACCTAATTTCTGCAACCCGGTCGGGAGCACGGCGCAGAGCCTGGGTACTGCACGTGCACAGCTCTCCCTAGCTCATTCTCTTCTCACACGTAGGTGTGCACTCTCATCTTCCCCCTCACCGGAACAAGCGTGGTGTGCCAAATCATTTCATGCAGATCACTCGCTCTCTCTCTAAGGTATGCCAATAGGCGGCACAAGTGCCACGGTGCGGTATAAAGCGTGCGTTCACTGTTCTTCCGTCATTCGCCCTCTCAGCAAGGGTGTGCGAAACGCTATGAACAACGTCAATGTCACCACTAGTTGCAACGGCACTGCCACCGCCGTGGAGCAGAGGAAGACTCGGGAAGCTGAACGTAAATGTCAGCGCTGGTAAGTGTACCCCGACCTTTAAGCCAGGGAAGACTAACGTACACGTCAACGTCGGGAGAAAACTTCTACGGAACCAGAACTGGCTCAGCATGTCGAAGTGGAACGTCAGAGTTATTAAGCCGACCCTGAACTCTGGACTCGGAAAGTTGATATGAAACGGCAGCGTCGAGCGGCAGCTCGTAATCCCGAAGCGACGAGGAGACGCGAATCTGCATCAAGAGCCATTGTCGACCACAGAGCCCCCGCGATGCTTCCTCCCCACATCTCCCCCTGCGGGCAGCCATAGTTGTATAACCAATGCTGCCCGTAGCTGAAGATGTGTAATTTTTATGGTTAGGTTTTAAAAGTTTTATGTGACACGTCTCCCTAATTTTTGTTTTGTTTCCTTCATAGAAGAGGTAAAATACCGAGTTGCATATTCTAGGGGATCTTTGTTATTCGGCCATGGGTATAGTCGTGCTTTTTCAAAAAGAAAACTTTCAACTGGAGCGTCAGCGAGAACTGATACGTAAGTAGCCAAGACAAGGTTTTTTGGGTAGAGAAGCTCGTGCGACGAATGTCAAAGCCAACTCATGGGGTGCGCACAAGGTCGAGGGCTATTTACCGGAGAGAGAAGCGGATGTTAGATATGAATGGCTTGCTTCTGACCCTGAGTTCAATATGAGACAAGACAGAGTGAAGGAAAATGTTTGGCTGTTTCATCAGCTTTTGCGTTGTTAAGTCTTTGACAATAGCCTGAATTTCTTTGCAATCCTGAAGAAAGTGCTAGGTCAGAACAAATAAAGAAGCGACAAAACTAAGCGTTCACGAATGTAAACGATTCTATTTTGCCGCAGCGGAGTATATACTCTCGGAAACGAAGAGCCAATAAAATGACATGACAGCAAGCACTCTTTTATGCCACCATGCACGAAAATTATAATTAGTGCACAAAATATTCATGCTCTTTCTTCAGCAAGTGCTCAGCATCATTGCGGGTGAGTCATTATGTGCTGAATCCCAGGGATATCGAAGATCTTACTGGTCCGTTAATTGATGACTTGCCAGTACCCTTGTCCGGCGAAAGGCTGGAGTGCAACCGCACTTTGTACACTGCAGAGCAAGATTACTGTATTATCTTCGTCAAACAAAACTCGAACAACGGCAAGCCTTAGCGATGGTATAGTAGTCACCGTGCAGTTATCACCATTATCAGGCGCATGCCGGCAGCTCTGCCCATACATGCCTACTGGTGATAAGTGGACGGCGCGCGCTGGAAGATCGCGAAGGCTTGCGGCTGTTCCGGTTTCATTTGATTTAGATAGCGTATTTCATTCTTAAATATGTGCCCGACGCATGGCTCTTCAGTATAGTGATATGCCATACATTATGATTTGATTGATTCATGTGGTTTAACGTCCTAAACCTCCTTATGGTTATGAGAGATACCGTAGTGGAGGACTCCAGAAATTTCGACCACCTGTGATTAACTTAACGGGCGCCCAAATGACATGGCCTTATAGCATTTCCGCCTTCATCGAGAATGCGACCGCCAAAGCTGGCATTCGATTATGCAACGTAGACGTCAGCAGCCGAGTACCTCAGCCACTAGATCACCGTGGCAGGGCCGGTGTGTCATACGTTACTTCCGATCAGCATTCAACAAAACTTTCTCGCATTATTTTTCAAGAAATATTTGAATTGGGCGCCAGTATGCATCAACAAGCCCAACAACACATAAATATTTTATCTACTTCATAAGGGCTGAAAGAGCTGTTTATGCGCACATAATTGACAATCGAACAAGACATAGGAAACACACACTGTTATGCAGACTTAGCGCTATTGATTCGACTATAGGATTTGATAAATGCGTTTTACTTTACTGAAACGCCACAGCTACTCACTAAAGTCGTAGGTGTTCATTGATCAATGCAAGAATGGTCTACATTTGTTTGATTCTACTGTATAAACGCATGCACACAGTCACACATGCCGACGTTCTGTTACGCATATACGGAATTCTGCAATAAGAATTTCCAATACGCACAGAACGGAATAAAATAAAACGTTCAAAAAATACTTACCTCGTACTCAAGATCTATGGCACTCTTTCCGGTTGCTGCACTCTTGGCCTTAAGTTTCTGGTACAAAGTCACGAACTCTTTGACGGAGAGCTTGTGATTTTTCGAGCACAGAATCTCCACCAGAGCCATGTAGGCAAAGATGTACTGCTCCTACGAAGAAAGAAGTATAGTGCAGCCGTAAATGCACAGGCTATATAATTTCATTTAGGTGTAGCTCTTGTTGTTTTAGCTTATATTGAAATGCAGCGTGACACATCATAATCTATCTAGGAACCACTGGAAGCCAGTAGTCAGCGTCAATCCTTTACTGTCGGTTGTAGTAAAGCGTCTGTTCAAAACTGAAAGGGGTGGCGCTGAAAGAATCCTAGGCCAGGACTAAAGAGTACAAGGATTAACAAGAAAACAGAGAGCCAACCAATGTAAAAAACAATATAATCCTAAAAGGACGTTTCAGCTCTGAACAAGGATGCCGTGTGTAAACGATAACACCCTAATCAGAATATACATATCTTACTTTGGTCCACGTCAGACTATGTGTTTCGTCATTCCCTAGAAAGGTGGAATTCTGCCAAACTCTGAACTTCAGTACAAGAATGAATAAGGAATTATAGTCGGACACTAATTAGGGAGGCAGCGGCATTTGCTTTTCAATGGCTGATTCACACACGCCTGTACCATAGGATGCGCATTCCAGAATGACGTCATCAATCAAACAGGTGGTGATACCGCCTTCAGAGAACATTTCCTAGTGCATGGGCGGCAGTGTTTCTTTTGTCACCAAGACGATCGGTTGCCGCACTTCGGCGGTCCTGGCGAGGCAACCGTATGGTTTTCATGTCCGACCGCAGCTTGTGGTTACCCTAGGGCTCAGGTTATAAACACGTAATGCTATGCCCTAGAACAGATAACAGAAAAAGAATTGGCAAGACTAGCATCCAGAAAAAGTGGGCAAAATGACACAGCGCTCGTATGCGCGTGATCGCTCTCGAAATAGTAATATTTCTTCAAATGCTTGTTTATAGGAAAATATTTAACGCTAAACGCTCATCACTTGTTTATATCAATAAAAATGCATATACTATGTGTAGCCTAACAGAAAGGAAGTTGGTTTGAACTGAGTTACTTTTCTAGGGTTTGGTTCCGCATATAATGCTTTGGAACTCTGCAATGTTGTGGAAATGCACGGTATGCCAAAAATTAAATTTGGTCTTCTAGGTTTGCCAGATCTCACTGTAAACAAGAAAAGTAGGCAACGGCGTCGACAAAAACACAGGTATATTTGGTTCGAATTCTTTTGGTGAGGTCGACAATAAATTGTTGGTGGACATGCTTTTATTCTTGATGGTGAAAAAAAACTATCGTTAGAATAAAGGGCAATATTATTAAATATACCACGATTTCTGGTTTCCAGAAAACACTCATTATCGGTGTACAATCTGCGGCATGCCTGTACTGTGTTTACACGCTATAAGCAAGTGCATCAAGTAAGTGAGGAAAGAAAATATGAGGAATTTTCTTACCAGCGACTCGACTAGGTTGACCCTGCTTTGGCGCATGGTGTGGAGATGGGCTACGAGATTCACCTCACCTTCTGCCTCTGCTTGAGAAAGCATGCTGTCCACCAAGACCAGTGTTCCCGTGCGGCCAATGCCCCCACTGAAGAGGAAAAAAAATAAATTGAAATACTCCCCCATATTCATAAAACAAACAAGCTGTTCTGCAGAAGTTGCGATGGAAATAATAGGTCTGGTAAGTTATTGTTGTCGAGAGACACGCCTGGCCTGTGAAATACATGAACAAAATTAACACAGCACCGAACAAGGTGAAAATATAGTCAAGAAGACGTTTTGGTTCGCCTACGGGAGCCTTTTTCGCAATGAAACGTGAAAAGCAAGTCCGCCTATTTATAAGGACGTCTAAACAGATGCTTCAGGCTACGTCTACACACTGCCGAAAGATTACCAGCTTTTATTCGGCATGTTCACAATGGTCTGAACGAACAATGATGCGTGATAAAACCATGGCAAGAGTTTCTTTTGGGTAGCTATTACTGAGACATCTTCTTAGTTGATCATATGACCCGTGGATACAACATGCTCGGCAGGTGAATTTGATGTCATTTTTTTTTGTTTTTTGAAGTCGTTATGGTGCTTCTGTAACCTTCTCAAAAATTTCCGGTGTCACCGATGTAAATGTACGCGCGAGCGGAGCACGGAATTTTGTTGACGACACCTGGCAAATTCTCCCGCTCTAACTTGTCCTTCACGTTCGTAAAGCTGTGTCCAAGTTTTTGCGCTGGTCCCCACAGGGGTGCCTGCGCAAGCAGGCGTTTGGTGTGTAGCGACACCATGGACCCGAGCTAACGGGGGGGTTTCGACTCCCTCCCACGCCTAGCCGTGCGTGGCTTTGCCGTGTCCTGGGAAAAGGGGATCCTGGGGGGTGAGCCAATGCTGAGTGATTGGACTTTTAAGGCCACCCAGCGGCGGCAACACACCCCTTGGTCCCGGCTTCACGTAGACGGCACCCCTGGGCTGACCCACCCAGGGGAAATCGGCAGTCACCTTTTCCTATCTCTCTCCCCTACAAATTCGTCTTTATCTCTCACTTTTTGTTGGTCCTGTCTACTTGTCTCTTCTTTTTACTTCCAATTTTCCTGGTGGCAAAGGTTAACCTTGTGAAGTTACTCAACCTTGAGTAGATATATTTGGTTATAGTGGCAATGTACGGCTGGCGTCTGCAGCCTTATGCTATTAAGTGCTTCAGCGTCCCCTGGTTGGACTCTATGGTGGGTGGTAGCCATTGCTGCCGAAAAAAAGTACACTACTATGGGAACACCTGCATTTCCCCGTCTCCTAGATCGTCTTCCGCTTAAGAAGGGACGCATCGATGAAATATCAATTTTCAGCCAACCAAGACAATGCTTTCCAAAATTCCATGTTGTGCATGGCGAAAATCCAACAAAACAAGCTAGAGCCATATCTCCATTTCTTGTTGACAAATCTCTGACTGAGGTCTTTGGCCCAGGATAGAAGGTTACAAAGATGGCTAGCGGAGACCTTCTCCTTGAGCTGCCTAAAAAACATCACTATGAAAAACTTGGCAGTGTCGTAGCATTTGGTAATATCCCAGTATCTGCTTCACCTCATAGATCAATGAACACCTCACGCGGAGTTGTTTCAGAAGCAGGCCTTCTTGAAATGTCTGAACAGGAACTGCTTGAAGGGTGGAAAGAGCAAAATGTCACGGATGTACAACGAATAGTTATAAGACGCGACAATAAAGAAATACCTACCAAACATTTATTACTCTCTTTCGTATCTAGCACGCTGCCTTCATCTATAGACACAGGCTACATCAAACTCTCTGTCCGTCCCTACATTCCCAATCCAAGAGGGCGTTATAAATGCCAACGATTTGGTCATGGCTCGAAGAACTGCCGGGGTCAGGAAACTTGTGCAAGATGTGGTAGCCACGGCCACCCATCTGATAACTGTGTTAATACGCCTCACTGCGTGAATTGTGACGGGGAACACGCCACATATTCACGTTCGTGTCCTAACCGGAAGAAAGAAAAAAAATATTCACTCTTAAAGTCAAAGAAAATATCACATTCGAAGAAGCAAGACGAAGAGTGTCGCCATTTTACGGCGCAACATATGGTGATGCGGCGCGTCAGGGGCAACGCCGCACCAGCCCTCGCCACCCCTTCGGCCAGCGCAGAGCGAGCCATCGGCTGTGGCGCCTGCCGCCAAGGCGGCAGTAGTTCAGTCTACTCCGCCTCCAAGCATATTGAGGCCGGAGACTCCAGGGTCCTCTGGTCTCAAGGCCTTACCTCACCAGGCGAGGCCTAAAATCCAAACCACCAGCTCGCATGTGCGGGCATCCAGTGCCTCTGAGGAGGCAATGGATACAACGGTACTCTTGGTACCGAAAGAGCGGCGCGTCTCCTTGGAGCGCGCCAAAAAAAAAATAAAAAAACCAATAACGGAGCCGGACGACCGTCCTGCCACCTGAATTAATAAGCTCACTCTAACACAGGATACTCTCTGTACACACAGCAGCATCTCTTCTTTTAATATGCAGCCAGAAATAGTACAGGGGAACTTCCAAGGCCTCCTTAGAAACTTCGATGACTTACAAGAACTCCTCCATGAACACAATCCTAGAGTGCTGTGTGTACAAGAGACACACTTAAAACGAACAAACACAAACTTTTTACGTAACTGCGTAATCTTCCGAATGGATAGAGATGATGTCATGCCACCATCTGGTGGTGTAGCGGTTACAGTTAGTCAAGGTATAGCATGTACACAATTACCCCTTCAAACTTCCCTCAAGGCGGTGGCTGTCCGAGCAGTTATTCTAAACAAACTTGTCACTGTCTGCTCTTTGTACATACCTCCACACCACCGTCTTGAAAAACTTCAATTCCAGTCTTTCTATAGACGAACTACCTGAACCTTATCTGGTCCTTGGGGACCTAAACGCACATAATAGTCTGTGGGGTGACTCTTGCTGTGATGCACGAGGTCGTCTCATTGAACAATTCCTCATTTCATCAGGCGCTTGTCTGTTGAATAGGAAAGAGGCAACATACTATAACCTTGCCAACAAAACTTACTCTTCCATAGACCTCAGTATCGCATCTCCTTCACTTGTACCATTACTTCAGTGGAAAGTCATAAATAATCCAAACGGAAGTGACCATTTTCCTTTAGTTTTGAGTACACCAATAATATATGAATGTCCTCCACATGTTCCCAAATGGCTGGTAAACAAAACCGACTGGGAACAATTTCCAAAGATTACTCACTTAAGTTGGACTGACATATGCGGATTAGGCATAGATGAAGCTGTGCAGTACTTCACGGCATTTCTTACTGACGCAGCAGCCAAGTGCATTCCACAAACATCTGGACTGCCCGGCGAACGATACGTCCCGTGGTGGAACAGAACACTGAGTGTCAGGATGCGCGAAAGGAACAGAACAGGGCATGGAGGTTACTGCGGAACTCGCCGACCGCGGAAAACCTTGAGAGCTTTAAGAAAATAAAATCTCGAGGCACGAGAACGCGTCGGCAGGTCAGAAGACAAAGCTGGAACAAGTTTTTATTAGGGATAAATTTATATACACAAGAGGCTAAAGCCTGGAACATGGTTCGTAGGGTAGCAGGAAGACAAGTACACTCACTCCCACTCGTAAACACACAGGGTGACAGCCTGGAAGATCAGGCGAACTTCCTCGGTGCACACTACGAGCAAGTGTCTAGCTCGTCACACTATACTGAAGCTTTCCAAAGATATAAAACAAGGATAGAAAAGCAGAAACTAGAATACAAGTACACAAATCACGAGGAATACAACCAACCTTTCAACTTAGCTGAGCAACAAACATCACTAAAATCTTGCAGTAATTCTGCCCCAGGCTACGACCTTGTCACGTATAAAATGTTGAAAAACCTGCCGTTCAAAACGCGAAAAACTTTACTCTCTCTAAACAATGCTATCTGGCTTTCTGGCACCATCCCTGCTTCCTGGAAAGAGGCTATTGTTATCCCTATTTTGAAACAGGGCAAGGACCCTTCCTCAGTTTCAAGTTATAGGCCCATTGCACTAACCAGCTGCCTTTGTAAACTTTTTGAAAAAATGATAAACCGCCGACTTTTACATTTTCTTGAAACACACAATCTGCTTGACCAGTTCCATTGTGAATTTCGAGAGGGTAGATCCACCACCGACCATCTGGTGCGTATCGAGGCACAGATCCGAGATGCTTTCGTCCACAAGCAATACTTCCTCTCAGTGATTCTCGATATCGAGAAGGCTTACATTACAACATGACGTTTTGGCATATTAAGAGACTTGTCTCAGCTGGGTGTGCGCGGTAGAATGCTTTCCATAATCGAGAGTTACTTGTCCAATAGGGAATTCCGTGTCCGTCTGGGTAGTATTCTCTCCGAAACATTTGTGCAAGAAACGGGAGTACCGCAAGGTGGTCTACTTAGTTGTACACTTTTTATTACTAAAATGAATTCCTTGTACCTGTCCATCCCCCGCAACATGTTCTATTCCACATATGTCGATGACGTCCAGCTTGGCTTCAAGTCATGCAACCTAGCAATGTGTGAGTGGCAGGTTCAGTTAGGTTTAAACAAGGTCTCCAAATGGGCAGAGGAAAACGGATTCCGGCTAAACCCAGGAAAAAGCACGTGTGTCTTGTTCTCCCGAAAGAGAGGCGTGCACTCAGAACCCGACATTGAACTGAACGGTCAACGTCTGTCTGTCAATGCGGAGCATAATTTCTTAGGCTTAATCTTGGACAACAAGTTGACCTTCGTACCACACATCAATATTAAAAAATGTTTAAAAGCCATGAATGTTATAAAAGTGTTGTCACGTACTACGTGGGGTAATGACAGGCAATGTCTCATTAACCTTTATAGAAGCCTCATTCGCACCCGCTTAGATTATGGGGCCGTTGTTTATCAGTCTGCGACACAAAGTTCTTTGATGCTGGATCCCGTGCACCATTCTGGCACCCGCCTTTCTACGGGTGCTTTTCGCACCAGCCCCGTAGAAAGCCTTTACGCTGAGTCAAATGAGTGGTCGCTTCATCGGCAGAGAACTTACATGTCCTTTGTTTATTTCCTTAAGGT